AGACACTTACCTATCCGGAAAAAATGAAGGTACTTGAGGACTCTCAGCCATTGAAACTGAAGGCTACACAGCTGAAAATCTTTTCTTTAAAAACACTCTAATGCTGTTTGCTGGTACTATAGCACTGCTGAAAGATTTCAAGACATTTGACAGTAATAAACATAATATTGCATACCAAAGACAGGACAGTGAAAAAAGTCCATAGTGTTTTGAATTTTTATTTGGGCAACATCTTTTCTACCAAAGAAGGAAATAACCTCATAAGATCTAAAAGTAACTGAAACATGACAAAATTGTTTCAAAACTTACACTAAAAATTTAAAAATCCCAAATAATTGCCACATGAGGAATTGCTGGAAATGGAGTTAACCTATGGTTAAAAGCATCATACAGCTAAAAGTATTTATTTTATAAACCAACAATTCTGTCTTTACTTCTATTTAATGAAAAAAAGTAGGTGAAATAACCTATGAGACTGTTGATCTGAAAACCTATGAACCATGGTTAATTAAGAGCTTTCCTTATTGTTTGTATAAGTCATGCTACTGTCTGTTCTTTCCTGTTTTTAATGTTAAAGACAGGAAGCCACTTCCTTGCTGTTTCTATTCTTTCCTTAAAGGCATAAAATGAGATTTTAAGATTAAAGACCCTTGTTTTTCCTACATCTAAAACTGAGCCATTTGTGTGTTTCTATGTGCATATGTGTATAAACACACACTCCTGACCATAAATACTTCAAAATACTTTTCATTGTTACTATTACCACCACTCACGTTATGATCAGTATCTTAAACATTTACTGAGTGTCTAAAATGTGCAAATCACTCATCTAGGTGATTTATATTCTGGAAGAGATACTAAATGAGATAAACACATAAAATATAAAGTTAGTAAACAATACTAATGGAAACAAAAGCAAGAAAGGAAGGGAGACATTTAATGCTGGAGTACTGCTGCAATTTAGCTCGGGTAGCCAGGTAGAATAGAGGATAAAAAGGAAGGTAGAGAA